TAGACTGAATCCGAGACGACTAGTTCTTGTTTTATTCCCATAATGCCAAACACCAAGCAGGGTTAGAACATATTTTAACCATACTTTAACATCTTTTTGACACAGCTAAGGGAATGTGTGTGTCCGTGTGTATGTCTTTATGTGTGTCTGCATGTGTATGAATAAACTTAAAGTTATTCCATGGCATTTGATCGTCAATGTTTCCATAAACTGAAAAGTAAGTACCATATTCGACGTAATAAGCGCCCGGGGCGCTCTCAAAATTAGAAATAGGGAATATTATTTTGGTGAAAAAAAACATAGATGAAAGATAAATTTCGTGGTTTATGCTGACAGCCTGAAGTGTTTATATGCGACAGATATATTTTTCCAGAATTTAATTGCCCATAATTAAGGGTGTATATAACACACGAGTGCGTATTATACGCGAATAAATAAGTCCTTTGTACATTGATCAATCGGAAGGGATGCAAATTGGGCTTGTTCACTAGCCAATATATCAGCAAATATCGCCGTGGGCGCTTATTAGAGCGGGGCGCTTATTACGTCGAATACGGTAGGCCATAACTAACAGACTACTGCTTCCTGACTGATAATAGAAAAGGTAAGGTCTACGCTGAATTCTTGTGCTGAATGATATCACTGTTCATGCTGATTTCGTACTGTTGTCTACAGTATTTTGTATTTTGCGTCAAATAATTTGTGTGATTTGGTTTGGTTTGGTGTTTAACGCTGCACTCAGCAATATTCCAGCTATATGATGGCGGTCTGTAAATAATCGAGTCTGGACCAGACAATCCAGTGATTAATATCATGAGCATCAATCCACGCAATTGGGATTGATGACATGCATCAACCAAGTCAGCAAGCCTGACCACCCGATCCCGTTAGTTGCCTTTTACGACAAGCATGGGTTGCTGAAGACCTATTCTACCCCAGAATCTTCACGTGTCATAATTTGTGTGAAGTTATTATTGTTGACATGTTTATTCATAAAAACTGACTTCAATATTTTCATAAGATATAAATGTAAAAACAGTTGTCCATACTATGTAAGTAATTTTTTAAATATATACAATAACAACTGTATTGTTATGTATATTATGATAATTCATTTGATGGACACAAAGCTGATTCCTCTTGTTTGAAAGAAGAACTATGATACCCTCATGGGTCATGGAGAATACTGGTACTTCCTGGTCCATTGATAAACATGCTCAAGTTGTAGATGATGTATACTTGGTACAAAACTTGGTTGTGTTAACAACTCGTTAAACATGGGGTCGTCATGGTAGCAGGGGATGATCACATATAGAAGCTGATTAAGCCAGGCGTCTCCCTCCAGTCACTGACTGACAGGTCCCTGTGGATCTTACATCATGACATACACCTGTCATGCAGAATGACGTACGAGATAAGTTGGGGTGACAAATAGGCTAATTACTAATGACAATAAGGGTAAAAAACATCTAAAATACTTCCAAATATAGGTAGGTATACTGAGTATTTATTCCTAGTTATCATTCATATTGGATACTGACTGTTCTCTTTGAGTTTGTATTATATATATTTAATACCTTGGATCCAGTTTACTGGGTACTTTTACATGAGTAGACATTTCTTTCTAATTATTAGGTTTCAGGTGACTTCTAATTTATATCTGTTTGTAAGCATGCCCCAGTTGTGTAACAATGTTTTACAAACCTGCATTTAATCGGTGAATAAAGAAATGTACAGAAAAACTGGTTGCAAGTTGAAAAGGTTACATTGGGTACAATTAACTCAGCATTAACTGTTAAACTATTAGTTGTTTTTTTAATCTTTCATGCATATTTGTATGCAAAGAAACTCAAAATTAATTGGGCAAAGGTGATTTATCGTATTCGACGTAATAAGCGCCCAGGGCGCTCTCAAAATTATAAATATCGGGCTCTTATTAGAATATTATTTTGGTGAAAGAAACAAGAGTTGTTTATGCCGACAGCCTGGAATGTTTATATATGGCAGATATATTTTTCCAGAATTTAATTGCCCATAATTAAGGGTGCATATAACCAACGAGTGAGTATCATATATGCGAAAAAATAAGTCTTGTGTACATTGATCGGTTGGAAGGGATGCTAATTGGGATTGTTCACTAGCCAATATATTAGCAAATATCGCTGTGGGAGCTTATTAGTTGCTTAGAATATGGTATTTTCCATATTATCCAGAGCTCTGCATTATTCAGTTCTTTATTCTCCAGATGTCCATGAAGACAGATTGGCTGTATGAAAGCAATTTAACTTTATTATGAAATAGGTATTCCCAAAAGCAATATTTATAGAAATGTAAGCATAACATATCCAGGGGGTAGCCTAGTGTGTTATACATTCTCTCATCACACCGAAGGCCTGGGTTCGATTCCTACTTGGGTCCAATGTGTGAAGTCCATTGCTGGTGCTCCCCGTCATGCTATTGCTGGAATATTTATGAAACCATATTCACTCAAAACATTTACAATGTTACTGTGGGTGTGGGTATGGCTTATGATGCACAATGTTGCAGAATGCCAATATTTACCAGGCAATAAAATGCACACTTGACCTGTTGACAATATATATGCCATAGGGGCAATCAGGACAAAACAATCACTGTATTAATCTTTTCGCATGAAATGCCCATGATGTAGCATCAACATTTATTTTTATCATGTTAACATTTCGTATTACATTTACCACAAAAATATTAGATGAATTAGTTTGAATTCTAAGAAAACACTTTTTTTTACACTTTTTTGGACATAACATTTGTTAGGTTGTTTTGATTATTGCACTAAAAAGTCAATAAAGTAATTATGTGGGGCATTGATTATTGAATCACCAGAGGTCCTTGGGAGCAAAGGGAAAACATGTCAATGTGACTGCCAATCAGGGTTATTGATGACAGTTCGGAAAATATTGACTATAGCCATTATACAGCTTAATATAATGGTAAATAAAATGAAGTTGTCGATCATCTTGTCTGGAAATCTATTATCGCCAAAGGTTCAGCACTTTCACACTTGATCCCGATCAACTAGCAGACAACCCTTAGAGAGCAAAATCTGATTTTTACTCAAAAGGCAGGTCTGTTTGGGTATATTATGCCAAGAGTGAGCATATTTGTATGGCCCTTACAGATTGTACGTACAGTAGGATGGAGGAAAGCCTGAAGTGATGCATGTCTCAGATGTTTACCACTTTTGTGAAACCCACGAGCACAGGGTATGTGCTGACAAACCTAGAGACCTAACTGGGGCAACCTGGGATTCAAACCCATGATCATAGGTTTCTGGCATGCCCAAGGGACGCAACTCTGCACAACGAATTGCGTCGTCTTAGAGGACTAGGCCAACCTGTACTGCTGCGTGTACAGATCACAGCATTCAACATTATGGGCACAGCGATTCACCAAATACCTGGCCCAACACGATATCCTGTCACCATACGAATATCGTATCACAAAGGTCTATTATCTATCAAAAACAATACAAGTTTACAATAAAGGTAAATCAAATTGGAAATACTGTTCCTTTGATAATTTTTTTATATAAATACACATCTACTTCTGTAAACTATACTGTGCAGATGATTATATCTCTGCTATGCTAATGTTTTTTGGACCAGTGGCCTAATACTGACTTAACAATGCTTAAAATGTCTGTCTATCTGTCTGTCGATAAGGGTGACATGTAAAATTTTATAAAATACTTATTGTAAAATTCTATTTTCTGACAGTACATATAAGAAATTGGAATATGTCTCAGCATGACAAGCATGTATCTATCGCATATTGTATTGTGACCTACACCATCAAGATATTTATCATATGATAAGAAAATGTATAATTACAGTCCTAGTATGAATAAAAGTCATGGCGACCAAGTCATAATCCCAATTTTTTAATTAAATAATCAACTAGTGGGGTTCTGGAATAAAGTACTAAAAGAAATCCAACGACAGCACCCCACCTAAATTTCCAATACTAGGCAATAACTATCATAACAGTACATCACAGCACAGGACCATGTATTAAACTAATATCCTATACAAACAAACTCGCAGACAAGACCTCGTCTGTGAGTAAGTTAGTATAGAATATTAGTTACATGGTCCTGTGATCACAGTCATGCTCATACAGACTGGTTTCTGGTATTGTGTGAGCTGCAGCAGCTTTGCAATAGAAATTCTTGCATTAATATTGTAAGCACAAATAATGACTATTGAACATGTTGAAATCAAATATTTTCTGAGCTAATCATAACATATCTTACACACTGCCATCTTGCCAACGTAACTCAGGTCTGATGTAAAACTATTTTTTACACAAAAGATGAAAAGTTCCTATTTTCTACAATGTTGTAATCATTTGCAGACAGAAGTTCTTCATTGAGCATGTGGGGTGAGAGAGCATAGCAATTTAGCAAGATCAAAACAAAACACCCACATGAAATGTAACCAAGTATAAAAGGAATTCCAGTTATGAACCCAGTTCATTGTATGTGAGGCCACTGCATTCTTTCGCCTGTGTCTCCTCTGAGTGTGTTTAGATTACAAATAATCCTTGCCCTGAGGGTATGTTTGGTACGAGCAGAATACCTGGACTGTGCACTAGAGACTGACAACACACATAGTCAATTACCAATCTGAACTGACTGTACAACAGGCTTGAATGTCCACACGCATGTCTTTCCATGTATTTGACTACAGCACACCAGTTGATACGTCGGTGTATTTAACCATGACCGACATGTTGGTTAAGATTCAAAACTTGCTAACGTAAACAATACAACAAGTCCACATTCCAGCACATTAACACAACACAAGGACACGAAATAGGGGTCATATCTGCTCTAAGTGACCCAAAATGTCAAAGATATGTGACGCTATGGCACGAACACTGGGCTCCACACACTGTGTGCTATGAGAAGGATTTCTACCACTACTCGTAGTACGATGATTGTAACAAATATCGCTTACCTCCAACCACCACAAGCTTGTATTCGGTCATTTGCACCTCGACGTGCGTCCGCTGGACGTCTTTCTGGCTCACCCCGATGGAAACAAGGATATATTCTTGTTACATATATAAACAAACGCCAGACGATGTTCGTTGCCTTTGACACAAGCACACTTCGTCACGATCGTCTACGATTTGACCTCTTTAGCTCACACCCATCGGAGCTTTTATACCACGGACAGCTGAAGAGAACCGTAGGGGCGACCGTGTCAACTCCTAAATACCGTGCTCCCTCCTATGTCATAGACCACTGAATGGTCAGTTGTAATGACTGTGCTTGTAGTAAATAAAACTAATAGTTATTAAAAATGCGTTGGTTGTATAATAGCATGTCACTGAAGCATAATAGAATTTATCATTACTGTCCAGTCGAGTCTCTCTCTCCTAAAAATAGCCACCAATAATCTGTGTAGTTTCTAAATTCAGTCTCTGTACTATTTTCCCAACCATTAGCAAACTGACTGTTAGCTTCAGATCATATGTTTCAAAAATGACATTTTTTTGTATTTCATGTGCCTGCCACGATTGCCTTGATAAAGTAATTTGTCTTTATGTCATATGACCAATTCAAGGATGTGTTGCAATGTGACTCACGTGATGAGTCAGATGTTGTAATGGTGGAATTTTTAACATTTTGGCAACTGCACAATTATATCGATTACATCATATTTATTTTTTGAATTTTTAAAATAAATACATATTTAACATGTGGATTTGAAATTCCGTATGCAATTTTCTTTCAGCATAACATATAATCAGTATGTATAGTGTTTGATATGACTCAAGAATAGGTCTTATGAAACAAATGTCATATGGAAAATTGTGAGATACATGTCTGTTCCCTAAAACTTTAAATACTCTCTCATAGTCCATTTGTATCTTGTTTTGTTGTTGTTGTTGTTGTTGTTCCAAAAGTATTGCCGCGCATCTTTTGAATATGTTGTTGTCGCAAATCTGCATATATTGTAACCTACAATTGTAAATATAATCATTTGATCCGTAGAGATGCCGGGTTAGAATTGATCTCAAGCAACCTACGCTGGTCGTAAGAGGCGTCTTAATGGACCGCGGTCAGGCTCAGAGACTTGGTTGATAGCACGTAATTAATTAATTAATTAATGTGTGCGACGTTAAACAAACAAACAAACAAGACATATAATTGTTAAGAAATTACAAAAGTTATAGAAATTAAATGAGAACAGATATGCAAACCAGTTGTGGAGGGAGGACTGGGAATGATTTATATGAACCCTCATATAAAAAAAATCATTAAAAAATCCTGGATCAGGAAACTTGTAACAACTGAAAATTGTAAGTGGAAAATTTTACTGTTGGAACAGCACAAAGTGTGTGTTAATATTCCTTCTTTTGATAATGGCTTTTCCCTTTTTGGTTTCTAGAAAGGTCTCCAATCATTTTTGGAAAGATTTTTTTTATATATATATACAAATGGGGATTGGAACAAAAAATAATAGTGCATTTTTTTTAAAGAATTTGTTTCTGAAAGTTTGTTTTACAAGAGTAATATAACAAATTGGTGGTAATACCTTTTCCAATCAAAATTGGAAAGCTATAGGTCTCAGGCAGGTGTTATCATTAAAGCAGACAACCCATTCATTACCTTTGCTGATTTTCAAAGTACTTACGAGGTAGACATTGACTTCTTGGTTTTTTATGGACTTAATTCTGTAAATGAAGTATCTGGATGAAATGAAGTATCTGGAAACTTCAATTAAAAAGGTCACACAAAAAATACTATTTAAAAACATTTTTAAAAAAACACACAAAAACATACCATTTATCTTAAAATTTACCTTTACAAATGATATTAATCTTAACTAGGCCCAAATGTATGTCAAAGTATTTAAAGTTACTCCAAATAAATATGGAACAGAATTATATTTGGTTGGTGAAGGATTAACAGTAACAACAATTATCATACATGAGAGGGATTAGCATGAGGAGGTTAAGTGGGTTAACAAATAACAACAGAAGGATAATATATTACACACAATGAGGAAACCAATTAAACAGGAAGGCATTTAAACCGGATTAAATTACTAGGTGGGATGAATAGAAAAACTAATGCTTGATGAGTTCATAGTAGGTGAGGTGAGGTGAAATGGGGTTTAACGTCGCGTCCAAGATTATTGCACTTATATAGCGACGTGCATGTACGTGTATGTGTTTGTGTGGCTGCTTGTACTAGTCCGGACTGATGCCGATTTATAGTGCTAGCTCACTGAGATACCATGCCGCAGTTTGACATGAATACCCCACTCAGACACAATATACTGACTCCGAGCCGACCAGTCCTTGTTTTATCCCCTTAATGCCGAGCGCCAGACAGGGTAACAACAAGTACCATCTTTTAATGTCTTTTGGTATGACGCGGTCGGGGATCGAACCCCGGACCTTCCGCTCTCCGTGCGGACGCTCTACCACTAGACCACGGAGGCGGTCGAGTTCATAGTAGGTTGATGGTATGACATAGCCTTGATCAAGGTTGATAGAAGACTCGTGGCGGCGAATCTGGACTGCGTCTGCTATAGTTTCTTTCAGTGAAGAAGTCATGAAGGTTTGATGGAGAGAATTTGGACGTTTTCCCAGTTTATGTAGCTATTGGGGGAGCTGCTTATATGGTCAGAGATGGCTGATTTACTGTCTGATTTGATGGCTGAACTTTTGTGCTCTTTCATTTTGGTGTTGATCCCACCTAGCAACTTATCTGGTTTATTTCGCTTCCCGTTTAATTTGTTTCGTCATCATGGTGTTATATTATCCATCTGTTGTTATGAGTTAACCTACTGATGTTAACCCCTCATGTCTATGATAATTGTTACTGTTTAACCTTCACCTATCATCTATATTTCTTTATCATGTTCGTTATTCAGTCCTGCTTGACAACGGTATAAGGGTTAATACCGAAACGCCTCCATTACAGTATAATAATTAAGTTGTTATCTACATTGTCATCCGTCAACTTTTAACAAATTACTATCAAGCAATGCAAGTACTTTTCTATAAATATAAACTCGATGCGGTCGCCAAATCAGGTGGGCTTATTATGATTTGAAACCGATGATTGATCAATCGGAATCGAAGAATTTCCGCATTCATGGTAGAATGTTGTTTAACGCGACACCCTGCAATATTCCAGCTTTGCGACTGCAGTCTGTAAATAATCGAATCTAGGCCAGACAACCCAGTGTCACTAATGATGAATATACGCCGACAATGATATCTACGTGATATTATTTGACCTGCATGTATGGATTTCTATTCCCGATATCGGCTAAAAATAAACGTGTTAATAAACCTAAGTACCAACCACACTGATCATTTTCCACACCCTGAAGCATTGATGACGTCATGCGACACATTGTTGACGTTACACGTTCATATATTGTTGCCCAAGATTGAGTTACGTCACAGTACGTTATGGCGCCCACTAGCATTGTTGACGAACCTTTGTTTGCGTTTGTGCTTCTTCACAGTTCTCTTCGCCAAAGTTCTTATCTTATATTCATTCTCCACTCATTAACAATGGAATTCAAGATTAATTGCGGGGCAAAAGAACGCATACTCATGTTAAATGGTGACTAAAAATGAAACAAACAAGAAATGGTCATTCGATGGTGGTGTATTTGATACGGGTGTCATACTCGTGTTTTGCACCCAAGCCTGCAGCGTTTCGGCGACTGTTTTAAGCCTTGTAGCGTTTTGATAACGTTTGTAAGTTTTTGGTCAAATCCAGATATCAAGTGTATGCTTTCTTTTTCTCCTTTCTGCTCGGGAATTACAACTAGACACTCATCTCGTAAAACCCTCACGACACACAAGAATGTAATAATCTCTATATATGACCTTGATCTTGAAACTTATGGATAGAAAGATTTTATATGAATCGCGCGTAAAAATAATTTAACGTGCACAATGCCATTTCATTGTTTATGTTATTCAGATATATTTTATTTAAGTTATACTGACATTCGTGACGTAATTACACCACAATATGTATGACGTCATGGTAACAATAACGCGGTTTTCAATAAAGAACTCGCTTCAATACATTTTCGTAACAATGTTTCATATATGCGTAAAAAGAAGAAGTTATTGTCCGAAGGTGTGAATCAAAATGATATGAAACTAACTAGTGTCAGGATTATATCATTCACGACAAAGGATAGTTTTATCAGGGGGACTTACACTCGCGTTATATAACACAAACATGCCCGTATTTCAGCCCTATACATCATAGGTTGCGTCCATTCAAACCAAACATTTTTAACATGAAAGTGTTTGGTTGCTTTTTGGTTTTCGTCCACATTCAAACAATAAAATATCTTCCAAGGTGAATGCGTCACAAATAATTGAACAATCGGATATTTTTTTTAATATTTTGCCAATAACACTTTTTTCAAGGCTCAACAAAGGTGATTATATGTGCGCCTCGTTCTGTTCACAGACGTCGGTAGGGCAGCACACACGGTTATTGTAGTCCTGCACCATGACCGTGGAATATATTTATTTTATTAAAAAAATAAAATCTAGAAATGCATACAAAAGCAAGTCTAGCCAGCTCAAGCTAGCTCTATTCCACGCATAGGGAATTTTTATTTTATTTCAAGAAAGATATTGTGTAATATAAGATTTCAGAGACTAAATGTTAGTCTAACGGTTATCGGTGCGTCCGTGGTTGTAGCAATGATTTCGTTCCAGTAGTAGTAGTGGTAGTAGTAAAACAGCAGCAGCAGCAGTAGTAGTAGTAGTAGGAGGAGGAGGAGGAGGAGAAGGGGGAGGAGGAGGAGGAGGAAAAGTAGTAGTTGTAGTAGTAGGAGGAGGAGGAAGACAGTAGTGTGAGTTTTGTTTGTTTGTTTGTTTGTTGTTTAACGCCGCACTCAGCAATATTCCAGATATATGACGGAGACATATGACCAGACAATCCAGTCACTGACATCCTGAGCATCGATCCACGCAATTTGGAATATGATGACATGCATCAACCAAGTCAGCGAGCCTGACCACCCGATCCCGTTAGTCGCCTTTTACGGCAAGCATGGGTTGCTGAAGACCTATTCTTCACGGGTAAGTAGTGGTGTGAGTAGTGGTAGTGGTATCATCGATAAAGATGATAATAATAATGACATGCACCAACCAAGTTAGCGAGCGTGACCACCCGATCCCGTTAGTCGCCTCTTACGACAAGCATAGACGCTTTTTACGGCAAGCATGGGTTGCTGAAGACCTATTCTTCACGGGTAAGTAGTGGTAGTGGTATCATCGGTAGGAGGTGGTCATGTGTCAGACAATCCAGTGATTGACATCATGAGCATCAATCTACGCAGTTGAGATACGATATGACATGCACCAACCAAGTCAGCGAGCCTGACCACCCGATCCCCTTAACGCATGGGTTGCTGAAGATCCGTTCTAACACGGACATTCCAGGACTGGCTGATGTCATCCCTCGTACAATAGCTGTCTGATTGGTCAGTCGCCGTTTTGTAAAGAAACCAACAACATGCAAGTTTGTACGACGGCCTCTGCGGGTATAATCAATGACGTCCTTGTGTTTAATGTGACGTCACTTGCTTGTCACGTCACAATGTACCCAGTACGCGCTTTTAAGTCTGATGGCGATCACAAGATAGATTACATTGTTACACACGAATGGTTCTCCGAAATTATGATATTGTAACATGTAAACTCGTCCTGATTAACTCGTTTCATGTGTCACAATTTAAGCGCATTCGGTCTCTTTGTTGTAACGTCTGTTGCATATAGATCTCTATATATAAAATACAAAAGTCCAAAGATGAGCTGTATAATTTACTCAACCGGTTTCACGCATGTGATTTTCAAGGGCACGTACATGTATACATACGTCCGCGGTTGAACTTTGAACAGGGAAGCATGACTGACCTGAATAACGGCTACCGAGTGACTCAGGGGTTCTTCTTTTTTCATTTATTAGTATTGACAAGGGAGATGACTGCAGTGTAGGCGATTACTCAGGTCAAAGGTTACCAAACAAGATGGCGAACTTTGCAGAGGTATGACATGCTCACTGTAATATATTTCCCGAATCACACTCTCGTGACTGGTGTTTGCCATACATGTAAATGAAGTTTGTAGTCCTTGTTCTATTTTGAAACATGTCGATGTACTGTCATAGAAATTTTGTTTCAGTTAATTGTGTTACGAACGTATTTATCCGAGCATGGTTCTTGAAGTTTTCTTAGGTACAGGTCTGTCCTAAAGAATTGATAATTGGGCCCCGATAATTGCACCAATCATCCATCAAGTTGTACATGGTATCTCTCATTACTAACTATTTTCAACATTTTTATCTTTGGTGAATAAGTCAGTGCTAAACTTTTGTTCTCAAGAACCCATTCAGACATAGACGTCAGCTATGGGATTATCGTGCTCTTGACTTACTAATTATTCTTCCAGAGACCATGCATATACCAGCTATGGACTAGACAGGCCTCAGCAGTAGATTATCATTAACAAACACTGCGCCCATGAGTGTAATTTCTTTGTTTGTTGTATAATGCCACACTTAGCAATATTCCAGCTGTATGAAGGCGGTCTCTAAATAATCAAGTCTGGGCCTGACAATCCAGTGATTAACATCATGATAATCAATCCACGTAAATAGGATACAATGATATGCATCAACCAATTCAGCAAGCCTGACCACCCGTACCCGTACCCAGTGTAGTCACTTTTTACGCAAGCATGGGTTGCTGAAGACCTATTTTACCCCGAATCTTCATGGGTCCGTGGTTGATACATCGGGACATTCTGCTGCTTTTCTCCTGGCAGCGTTTAAGATGTACGACACATGCAGAAATGCCCTTATCTGTTGACTTCCATAGTCTTGTAAACAATTTTATGCAATGTTTGAATGCTGAGAGTTAAAGAGGCACTGATCTATCGTAATTCCCCGGGACTGGTTGTTGCCTTTGTTATTGTTTTTTCCCAGTGAGTACCCGGATGTATAGCAGAAATCTAGACTAGTTCGCGACCTCTGCTGCGCCATTCGTAAGCGCATTAGTCACTTGTATGGGTAGTAATATAGAGGGCGTATGGTCACATTGATCAACAAAATGAAATACAGTTTTGGAGATAATAAGGAAATGTAGGTATCTTTGTGGTTAGCATCGGTAATGGTGACGAAGTTTTGATAAGTTACTTGCTTGGTAATTTTGCGATTTTCGTTTACACTATTTTGACTTGCAACACAAAGTAAATATTTCACCTGAGCATTGCTTTTTGATAGTGTGTATATTTTTTACTGTCAAAATGTGTAACATTTTCAAATTTATTCAACGCCTAAATATTCAGTTATTTAACAAAGTGACTGAAAAACATTTCCATCTGTATTATTATGATAACGAATTCCAAACATTTTGATGTTTAATGTCACCACCAAGAGACTGAAAATGTTACGTTGAAAAGTACATTTCTATGTTGTTTGGCTTCTAATCCTACATAATAATCTGTTGTGATTTTTGTAGGCCCTTTTGATCGTCTTAATCAATCTGGACAGATTTTTTAGTCAAAATGACTGAAATATTTACACATTTTATAAATTGCCTGAGAGAATTACATTTTACAAATTGACGGTAATATATACACGCTTACAAGGGAAAAGGCCTGTGAAAACAACGTATATCGCGCATTGAAGAATTTCCCAACCAAGACGAAGAGAAACAAGTTCGGTTCAATGCTACAGCAAATGAAGGAAAACAAAATGCAAATACCATAATTACAACCTACCAAATTTATGTGTATAAATTTTAGGCAGCTTCCTTGTTCGAGGAATGTATCCGTGAATATCCACACAAAGGAACAATATCCCATTCGTCTGCAGCTGTACAAAGAAACCTATTCGATGTCACGTGTCTCTGTAACAATCACATATTTTAAAAGATATATATCGTTTCGGGATATTATAACCCGTGTTCGTTTCTCAACTGATCACTTGGATTGTTTCAGGTGTTTGAGTGATAGATAACAATGATCAATCAATCAACGTATTATCAGTTCACCCTTTGAACAAAGTATGTTGTTTTTACATCGGCACTTCACGCAAGGATATGTGTGTATTCCCTTTGTTTTAGTAAACCTAGATATGTAAACACTCACTATTGACATATCCACTGCGCAAGATAACAGTGATTAATCAATCAACGTATTTTCTGTTAATCCTTTGATGACTAGGAACGATCCGTTGATTTACAAAAAAAAGTAAATCAACTGATCATTCACCTCTTGCTGGTCTGCCACGTGCATATTACATAACACACATTTCACCTCACTTCAAACCTGGATTTAGATTGAATAATTACCCCAGACACAATAAATGCCAAATGGGAACCTTTGTCAGGTAATCTATGTGGTGCTACCACTAATTGTACCTGTAATAAATTCATTAACTGTGCATCAAGTGAATGACGACAAATACACAAGTGTAGGGTTATGCGAGAAAACGTGGATGACAACAAGGGAGTAGTAATCGTATTATCGACGCAATCCGAAAACCGAAAATGCTTTCACTGCATGGATACTTTTTTTAGTGTTAACTATAACCATCTGGGGTATTTCCAAATGACGACATCCGATGAGCTCCGCCGTTCTTTTTGTCTGTTAGTTTAGGCTGGAGAAATTAATTAACATGCGCCCTTTGTCGAAATCTTTTTCGATCACGGTTAACAAATCAGTGTTTATGCAAAAATGCGTAAAACAAATATTGCCTCCAGCCTCCAAGTTTATTTAGCTGTCCTTGCAGACGGTAGCCCAGTCTCTGGTCACGCTCAGTTGCGTTGCGTATCATCCGGGTACTCTCGGGGGAAAAAACAATAACAAAGGCAACAACCAGTCCGGGGAATTTACGTTAGATCAGTGCCCCTTTAATTACCTTCTCTTCCCCTCAAGCGCACATGCTGACATAACACTATTTCAAGTATTAGGCTAAGCACAGACAAAAACCATCGCTTCAGGGGAAGGAAACAGAAGATCAATAACAAACTTGTGAAAATATGAAAATTGCGATAAAACATCACTACACTTGATGATGTACAGTTTCAATTATATTTCCTGTTCCACTAGGCATTGTTTTCTATGCAGAGATTAAGATTACCCTGTGTATTTGTCTCGAAAACTGAGCCGGAAATAGCAATCAGCTGTACACACATTTTCTCTTGAATCTTACCAGTGAATCAGTTACAAAATTTTCAATAATATAACTTGAAGGTATTTTATGCAGTGATCAGGAGAAATTGTATCTGAAACTATTATTTTTCCAGCAAATATGTATTCCAATATTGGGTTACGTTTGTTGCAGCTTTATAATTTAATAATATGAATAATTGGTCATAACCATAAGCGTAGCACTGGAACAGTTTTGCGTGTCACCTCGTCCCTCGGTATATGGCCTCTGGGTCATATGAAGTCATATGAAGACCTGTTGTCTAGGGCTGGGAAAGAGGCAGTGCACAAAGTAAACAAGTCTAAATAATAATATCTAAAATTTGATAAGGCAAAAACAAACAAGATGTTCTTTCAACGAATATTAATCCACCAAACTGCACTTATTTAGAGATTCACCACAAGTGTGAATTTCAACCACTTTCTGTCATAAATGGTATTTTCTTCACAATAATGGAAGTTCCTTCTAATATATTAGGGCGGTCGGGTAGCCTAGTGGTTAAAGAGTTCACTCGTCACGCCGAAGACCCGGGTTCGATTCCGACATGGGTACAATGTGTGAAGCCCATTTCTGGTGTCCCCCGCCGTGATATTGCTGGAATATTGCGAATAGTGGCGTAAAACCATACTCACTCACTCACTCTAATATTTTAACGCAAACTCCTCACTGGAGTAGTACAGACGTCTTCGTCCCACAATGATAATATGACAACTACTGATGTTAAGCTGTTCAAAGTAGTCTTGTCAGATACAGAGCATGAAAATCACAAGATTCACAGAAGCACTTGCAAGTTGTTAAGCCACAGGTATATTTGGGTGAGTTGTTCCACATTAAATGATGGGTGTATTTGGGAGAGTTGTTCCACATTAAATGATGGGTGTATTTGGGAGAGTTGTTCCATGTTAAATGATGGGTGTATTTGGGAGAGTTGTTCCACATTAAATGATGGGTGTATTTGGGAGAGTTGTTCCATGTTAAATGATGGGTGTATTTGGGTGAGTTGTCCCATGTTAAGTAATGGGTGTATTTGGGTGAGCTGTTCCACGTTAAATGATGGGTGTATTTTGGTGAGCTGTCCCACGTTAAATGATGGGTGTATTTTGGTGAGCTGTCCCACGTTAAATGATGGGTGTATTTTGGTGAGCTGTCCCACATTAAGCGATGGGTGTATTTTGGTGAGTTGTCCCACGTTAAATGATGGGTGTATTTTGGTGAGCTGTTCCACGTTAAATGATGGGTGTATTTTGGTGAGCTGTCCCACGTTAAATGATGGGTGTATTTTGGTGAGCTGTCCCACATTAAGCGATGGGTGTATTTTGGTGAGTTGTCCCACGTTAAATGATGGGTGTATTTGGGTGAGTTGTCCCACTTTAAATGATGGGTGTATTTGGGTGAGCTGTTCCACGTTAAATGATGGGTGTATTTTGGTGAGTTGTCCCACATTAAGTGATGGGTGTATTTTGGTGAGTTGTTCCACATTAAGTGATGGGTGTATTTGGGTGAGCTGTCCGAAGTTAAGTGATGGGTGTGTTTGGGTGAGCTGTCCCATCTTAAGTGATGGGTGTATTTGGGTGAGTTGTCCCACTTCAAGCCATGGGTGTGTTTGGGTGAGCTGATGAACCAAGAATAACTATTTCCTTCTGTCCAGTTACCAGAGACATATTTCAGTAACCTTGTTTTCCATTTCGTCAAGAGTAGGCTATCCCTGTTTAAACTGGGGCATGCTATCTCAGTGGGCTGGCACTATGAAACCAACATTAGTCCAGATGAGTTCAAGAATCACCTCAAACACATGCATTCATGTTGATGTTTAAGTCCAGTAATATTTAACAC